CTGGGAGGTATGGGACTTTAAATAAAGAGATAGAATAAAACTCAAGAGAAGTAAACATTTTTTTATCTAGAGAGGCCTTGAACTTCAACTTCCAAACATAATTAACATTCCAAGAGTAAGAAAGAAAGTTAGAGACGTTCAGTGTCTAAGTTGCATATTTTCCCCTCAAATATAGAAAGACTCTGCTGCATTTGGCTCTTTCATTGTTCTCAACCATAGGAAAAAAAGGATCTAACAATTTAAACTTTTAAAATCAAATCATCTCCCTAGGAGATGTATTACTACTCTGTCCTATATACTGCTGATGATTTGGCCTCTCAGATTAATGTTGGAATATTTTTTTGTTTTGTTTGAAACAGGGGTTCACTTTGTGGTTCAGGCCAGCCTTAAACTCGCCTTGTAGCCCAGTCTCTCCTCAAACTTGTGTCAATCCTTGTGCCTCAGCCTTGAAAGTGCTAGAATGCTGAGATTACAGGTGTGTGCCACCAAATCCAGCTTAAATGTTGGAAATTTTATATAATATTTGTAAGTTTTCTGGCAAATATAAGAATCTCATAAATGTAAACCTTGCTGAAATTATGTTACACATGATTTTCAAAATTCACAATTTGTACAATAATGTGAGAAAAATCTAGTAATAGAATAACTTGAAATATTCATACATATTTCTTATATTTTAGTTTACTACTTCTCAGATTATTAATTTTTCAGATAAAATGTAAAATCTTCACATGAAATATTTTAGAATGAGAAATTCTCTCTCTCTTTCTTTCTTTCTTTCTTTCTTTCTTTCTTTCTTTCTTTCTTTCTTTCTTTCTTTCTTTCTTTCGAGACAGGGTTTCACTATGTAGTGCAGGCTGGCCTTGAACTCATTTATGTAGTCCAGGCTGGCCTTGAACTCATTTATGTAGTCCAGGCTGGCCCTGAACTCATGGAGTTCCTCTTGTTTTAGAGCTTCCTGAGTACTGGGATTACAGACATGTGCTACCATACCCAGGTAAAAAAATACTTTCTTTAACTAATTGCCATCTTGACTTTCGATAGTGTCATTAATAACAGCTGTATATATAGAGTAAAAGTTTTTTATTTTATTTTTCCCACTTAAAACAGTTAATCTCTTGAATTATTTGATACGTAAATATCACTGATTACTTTTTTATCTGCCTCATGGACCAAAAGTGATTGGATAATGTGAATAGAATAGAAGGATATTTTCTTGGACAGAATTATGAGACAGCACTACACAATTTCACAGAAAGTATTATTATTTCTTGAAGACATATTACTTTTTCTTATGTCCTATCTTTTACATTAATCTGTTCCATTTAAATATTAGAAAATCAAAGTAGAAAAATCAATGATTTAGCCAGGTTCATGAAGTATGATTGGAGAATTAATGAAACTGTGGAAAGGCAAAGGAATTTGGAAGAGACCATGTGCATTTGTAATCAAATTTCTTCATTTCAGTGATGGAATAGAGACTAAGTTGCCCAACTGCCAGTCTGAGACTCTTTTTAATCCTACTTTACTGACCTGTTCACTGGTTGGAATATATATATATATTCAAAATTTCACACTGACCCACTTCCCAAGCCTGAAGCTCCCATGTTTTGTTTTTTGAGAGTTTCCCTAAATCATTAAATTACCAAGCCTAGACTTGAACTTACTGTTCTCCTTACTCATAGTCTCCGAGTGCTGGGATTATATAGCATATGCAAAATTTCATCTAATTTAGCTGGAGGCAACAAAATATATTGATGGGGGAAGGAGTGCTGTGTTTAGAACTCAGGGCCTCTTGCATGCTAGGCAAGTGCTCTACTACTGACCTACACACCAAGCCCCGTAAGTGTAAATTAAAATAGTACTGGTGAAGGAACACAGAAGGAAATTTTCATTAAAGAAGATGAGTCAACACTGAATGCTGAAAGGAGAGATAACGTTACGAGGGTGAGAACCAGCATATACACACATTCACATGGAAGGGACAGAAAATTGCTGGGATGCAACAATGGATTTAGAAGACAAGATGCATGTGACAGAGAAAGTCGATGCCGAGGGGACAGTAGGAAGTTGCTTGATGAGAAAGAAAGTCAGGCAAAGGAAAAACAGGGAGGGAAAGGGTTTAGGAAGTGCTTATTAAGTAGAGTTGGAGAAGGTAGAGAGTCTACTTGATTCTAGTAAAAAAGTGTAACCTCAGGAAAGCAGTGACTTTCGGTCTGTTTCATTCACTGTTGTATCTTTAGTTTCCAGAGCAGTGTCTGTTACATAGTGGGCACTCATTTGATTTTTTAGTACTGTGAAGAAAACCAAGGTCCTCAGACATGCTAGGCAAGGGCTCTGCCCTGAGCGACATGTTCAACCTGTTTATTTTGTTTTTGAGACAGGGTTTTGTTAAGTTTCGCCAGTTAGATTTGAATCTGTGACCTTTCTGCCTCAGCATCCCCAGTGGCTGGGATTACAGGTATGTACCACCATGCCTGTCTTAAATATTTGTTGACTAAATCAGTAACTTATTGAGTGGGTGAGATATTAGCATAAGAAAACAATCTCTTGAACAAGAGGGACAGAAACAGTTTCTTGGCAGAATATTATTGTAAAATTAATGTTTTTATATTTTGAAATATATAAATGGCTTCAGAAAGCATCATACAGTAGTGAACTGACTGTAATTCTTTAGTTTTATATGTTCCAATTTAGATAAATAGGATTGTTTTTGCAGCCTATCTTTGGAGCTATTTTTTTAATTATCATAACTTTTTACAATAAAATAACCCCACCAGAGTTACTGATGAGATTCACAATGCAGGCTTATTAGTGCCACTAATGATTCTGTATCTAACTCCTCTTGGTGTTCATCTATCCTGTTTCATAATCATCCCAAATTACTACCTCTATCGTGCGTGCTTGTCTCAATGGAACCCTGCCATTCACTATGGATTGAGTGATACTCTTGCTTGAATCAAATGTCACTAAATTGCTTTGATGTGAAGAATTGCTACTTTTCATTTTTATAAGCAAATGCTTATAACACATTCTGTGTTATTAGAGTGGCCTATTTAAAAGCCAAAACCATTGATCTGAATATTTACCTTCTAGAATTTGCAGCACCTTAGATAAGCTAAGGTAACTGTTTTCTACTTGATTAATGACAGCAAGAATTAAACTGCAGTAGCTGCCATATGGGAAATTGCTGAGAATGAAGAGCCAATATTTTGGCTGACATGCTGTTTGCCGCTTTCAATTCTCCTTTTATTTCATCAAGTTCACATGAAGGAGAGAAAAGGCACTGAGTGATGTTTGAATAGTTATAGCACCTTTCTTTCTCTCTCCTGCAAGAAAAGAATAACTTTCTTCTCTTTACCTACCAATATCTTTTCCATCTCACACGTTTCATTCCCTTTTAATGACAGATGTTATGAAAACGGCCTCTGTCTTACACACCGTGACCTCTCTTTAAGAGTTTAAGCTGCAGAAAGCTAATGGAGCTTCCCTATCTTTGAAAATGCCATCAGCTATTGTGGCTCCCAACTCATCACAGATACGCTGATAAAAAAAAAAATTCATGGACAAATTAGGAAGATAAAAATGAGTATTTAGGAAGTGGGAGGTGCAAACTTAAGTGGGGGAGAAAGTCTTTAAATAAAAAGAGATCATTTTATACTCCTAGAAATCTGCTTCTTTTCCATTATTATGCATTTATTGGTAAAAAATTTCCTTCTTTCTTTACACTCTATGGAATAAAATGATGATTAAAAGCTCAGATACTGAAGTTGGATTGCCCGTGTTTATAGCTCAGATCTGCCCCTTGTAACTAAGTGACCTGGGAAAAGTTATTCAATGTCTCTGTACCGATTTTCTTCAAATGTACAGGGAGCATAACAATGGAATTTAACTTTTAAGCTTGCTGAAATGTAACAAAAATATAAAGTGCTTATGGCATTGCGTGGCTTGTACAAATACCACATAAATGTTAGCTGCTGAAATCATTACTTCATATTAGATTTTTATAAACATGCTTTTAAGTTAATAAAAATATCAGGCTTTTTTCTCCCTATATGAGTAGAAATGTTACTTGCTAAAGTTTTGGACAATTTAGGAGAACTATAACAAAGGAAAAAATATCTCCTTTCTGAAATCTTACTACCTAGAGGTATTAACTGCTTTGTTACTTAATGCATTCCCTCATAGCCATTATTAAGTTCATCTGTGATTTGCGACCTCTTTCTATGACCACTTCTTTTATAGATACAGATGAAAGCACAACATATTTTTAGTAAAAGCAGTGGATTAGAAAAATCAATCCATTAGAAGCAGGAAGGCTGGCTTACCCTCCCTGCACTTCGAGAGTCCCTCCATGAAACTATTTCAGCAAAATGGGAGTTGCAAGATTACGGAGATACTTCCATTAACTTCTCAAAATGAAGTTAAAGCAAAGAATGGGGCAAAGGAGTAAGTAGGTGAGTATAGGACAACTAATAGTCTATTTACAGAGGATGTATTCACACAATCTAAGAAGAATCAAAAGACAGAAAGTTGCCGTGCCCTGTGCTTAGCTGCTAGAGCTATGGAAAAGGCTTCTCTGACTGTTAATGTGTTTTGGCTTTTAAAGAATGCCCTTTGATATGCGTTTAGAATAGTGCCAAAGAAAGAATTCCATAATAAACATCCGTTAATTTTATCACTTTTGTACAACCTGTGATAAGCCAAGAGAGAACTATGAAATTAGGATAGCTGTGCTTCTCATTTAAATTCACTCTAATGTCTTAATATGCATCTCTCCTGTGGTTATAAAATATCACCACTTTAATCGAAACTGAACCCTCAAGTATCATCTCCATACCAGGCAAATGAATGATTCATTTATTCAAAATAAAATGAATCATCCTGAAATTGAGTGATTTTCATAAATATATGAGATATTAGCTACCTGTGCTAGGAAAATGAGGGAAATTTTGTCATTTTAATTTATTTCTGGCTTTTTTGCTCCAATCTTTTCCTACCTAATATTGAGAGATTTTTTCCGAAGTTCACTCCACTTGAAGTTCATGTTATCCAAACGTCTCTGTAACAGGGTTGCTTCATCTGAACCTTCCAAGGATCTCAGGATTTTTTGGCCATTTTCATCGAGGTTGTGATAGATATCAGTGTGGGCTTCAATTTCTCCTTGGAGGTCCTATAGGACAGCAAGAGGAAGAACACATACAGAATTACTGAACCAAAGAAACCAGCTGTCAATGTGAATCTGGAGAACTACAAAAAATAATGATTCAAAAGACATTTTAAGTGGGCCAACTAACAAGATAAACCCCAAGTCACTTTTCTTGGTGTACTTTATTGTCTCTTCATGTTTATACATAGATTGAAAATGAACATATTATTAGTAACTAAGCAATATATTTATAACTTTACAAATTTCATGTTAGCTATTGTAATCTATGGATAAAATATATTGTTTTATGAAATTGGTATGACATAAAATGATATACCTGGTGCCAATTATTTCATTACTATATGAATCAAGTTATATTTTCTACACATATAGTAATCTATAGTATTGAGACTGACGATAAAAAAAAAAAACAAAACAGAAAGACGAATAAACGACGTTGTCCTTGGTTGACAGCACCAGTATATCAATGGGACTCGGTCATAGGAGAGAATCTTCTTGATAACACACATTAAGTTGACCTTGGTGCTACAGAACGATTCATATATTATAACATCACACATATATTAGTAAGATTTCCTATTTAAAATAGCATCGTATTTTTAGGCTTGATAGGTGGAAAGTCCACAGGACCTTGGTTAGAATTATGTTAAGCAGTATGCATTCAACTTCATTTGGATAGACACAGATCATGAAAATTATCATAGCAGAAGAATCTGACCTTTACATGGTATGTCTTCCTGTGTAACATTTTCAGCTTGAACCGGGGACTACAGCATTGATCCTGTTGCATAGCAATCCTGAGAAAGCCCAGAAACGGAAAGAGCCCTGCTTTAAAATGCCAACTTTGCTTACATTCTGTTGACAGAACGAGTTTCGGAGCACAGGCCTTACGAGTCAATAATAATAAACGGCCACTTTGTATTCCTCACTAAACCGTAGCCAGGCGTGTGGACGTAGGCGGGACCTCAAAGGAAGGAGGCCTGGAATATGCAACTGACAGTTTATATTAAACAGCCAACTTTTCTTATCATTTTGCCATTACAAGCCAGAGACATTATAAATTCATTTTATATATGTGTTTCCCTCCTTGTTTCCAGCAGAACAGTCCAAGCCAAAGGAACATTCCTTACAGAGCTGCCGGGTACCAGCATTCCTTTCTGCCTACACAATGAATGGAGGCTTTGTATATTATCTGACTTGCTCGGAGAGATTTGTATGCTTCTGTTCAACAAGTTTAAAAATTCATTCTGAAGCTCTCAACTATTGGATTCATCTATGTAACTAGACAATTTTTCTTCTTTTTTCTCTGTCGCTCACTCCATCTAAAATTGAATTAAATTACTCTACTGAAGTAAGGGGGGCAATGGCAGCAATAACATGTGAGCTATTCTGAAGAATGGGATCATGTTTTCAGTCACTGCATCTTATGATGCAGAAGTCTGAACTTTGCAGAAGTAAGGGAGATGGACAATGAATGTCTCCTATCACTCTTTTTGGCAGGCAAAGTACTCACGACAGACTCTAAGAGAGTCATGTCTCATTTTCCTGCACTGGAAAATTGGAAGGGGAACATGGATAGGACCACATCACAAATTGAAAAGGGAAGAAACACTAAAACAGACTGAGGAACTTCTATCTTTATCCCGTCAACCACAGGTTTGCTCTGGAAGGATATAATCAGATTTTGACACTAGTATATGTGGCAGAAAACTAGAACTCAGCTTCTGCAGAATGAAGCTGGGTCAAATGTGCATCCATTTATATATTTATTTTCTACAAGGAATAAGATGACCTGACTAATTTGCATTTCTTCAGCAAAAGGGGAAAGGTGAGCTAATTTTTCAAAACAGTTCAGGACAAAAAACAGATTGAAATTCCAGATAATTCCTTCACTTGCTCTTACTTTAATTGTTATATTTGATTTGCACACTACCTAAAACTTCCCTTCAGAGTGAGCAATTAGGGGATTAAAGCCAAAGTTTTCATTTTTCAAGGGAAAAAAAACCAAGTTTATCTCTGTTTTCTTTTCCTTTTCCTGTTTCTTTCTTTGTTTCTTTTTGAAATATTGACGATTGAATTCAGGGCCTCATGCATAGTAGAGCAAATTCTCTATCAGTGAGTTATAACCCTAGCCCCTGGGAAATAAAGCAATTTGACTAACAGGATCAACATCTTACATTGTAAGCATACAAATAATAGTACATTTGAATTTTTATATCCCACACTAATAGCAGAGATACAGTCCTAATCATTAGTTCCTTAAGATTATGTATAACGTGAAGTCATCAATGTTTTCTTGTAAGAGCTCTTCCCAAGCATAAATAAGATGTGAATTCATGAATTTGCTAATTTTCTTCTCTACCATGCATGTGTATATTACACTGCACATAAACATGTTTCTCATATCAACAAAGAAATGAATATAGAATTGATAAATATTTATTTAAGACTGATTATTTATCTAGTCTTTACAATATGGGAAATATGGGAAATAAAAGAGAATGTAAGTGACAGTTTAGTTTTATTTTTTCCTAAAATCAAGGGTGCACTTTTTGCTTATTCATTTACATTATCACCTAAATATGAAAAAGAATTTTCTGCCAAATTTCTTATATACTTGTATAAAAACTTTTCCTTTCAGAAATGCAAAAACGGTGTTAGGAAAAAAAAAAAAAAACGGAGTTAGCATTGGCAGGAAAGTAACAATTATACCAGTACTGGTTTTCTAGGTTATGATACTGGTTTACAGAAACAGATGCCAGATGTAGAGTAAAAAGCTGTGTAGAATACTGAAAATATGCCACCCTAGTTACTCCTTGCCCTGGTCCTGTGAAATACATTATATTTTTTCTGTTTTGTAGATGAGAGTTTCAGAGAAGTTTTACAGCCTTGCTAGTCAATATTAGAATTGAGAAATGGGTTCTGTTCTCCTGATTCCAGAAAATCCCATGGTGGTTTCACTAAGACATCTCATGGAGCATGAGATGCAAAAGACATTTGTTGAAGCTGAACAATGATACTACTAAGATCACACTCAACTGTTGAGGGAGAAGCACACAGAAAAGAAGCATGGCTGACTTTTGATAAACTATGTGCCCACATGGATTGATTTGTTCTGAGTGAAAAATGGAACCCTGACTACAGTTTTCACAACCAGGACCACTTGGAATCACAAGCCTGATTGCACTGAAAAGGTCTCTATACTACAAAATATCTCTGCTGCCGGAACAGAAGTGCTTCCATCACAGAAGTGATTCATCCCTTTGACTACAAGAGCTGAGGGGACAAGGAGTCACACCAAGTAATGTAAGCTGATGCATCCATATTAATATAACTCCATCACATCCCTTGGATTGAAGGCTGGTGGGAAATCTGTGAAGTTGAGGACTTAGGTGTGTTGCTCTAAAAAGGAGGCAAGTAGTGATGAGGGATAAGAAGCTCTCTTTCAAAGGCTGGCATCCTGTGGTGGGTGGAGAGTTTTCAGCAAACCAGGCAGCATGAGGCTTAGGTGGGGAGGAGACAGTGACCTGGCAGGTGGGAAAGACTATACATTTACATAAAAATATCATGAGGACTAAACCTTAGACTTACAGACCATCGAGAAGCAGGAAATTGGTATGGAGAATCAAGTGGCATTCTCAGAGATCAGCCAATTCACACAAAGAGTAATTCTCTTAGAATTTTTAGATGTGATTTTACTTTATTTTTAAGCCTTAGTTACTGTACTCATTATACACTCTAATTCTTCTAAAGATTGCATTCTTTAGGGGGGACAGTAACTAATGAATAGGGAAAGAAGAGATTTGTTATGTAAACAAACAAACAAAAAAAAAAAAAACCCAGCAGAAACAGCCGCAATAGCAAGGGAAATAGTATGTAAGATTTACTATACACAAAGCACTGTCAAAAGACCTATAAGTGCATTAGATCTTCTAACCCTCCCAATGACCTCTAGAACAAACATTATTATTATCTTCACTTTCCATATAAGAGAATGAAATTACGCAGAGCTTAAGAAAAAAAGACTCAAGGTCACACAGTTAATAAACATGTGGTTACTTAGACCGAGACAACTGAACTCTAGGGCTGTGCTCTTAAATTAACTGCTAAGCTGCATTACCTCTGAGCTTTAGTTTTACTTTGCTCATTTTTTTCCTATTACAAACACTCCCACTCAAATTTCAACAAATCTAGCATTGCCAGGAGATGAAGAAAGGAAACACCATTTTCAGGAGTCTAAGTAATTTTATGGACTTAATATGGAGACTGCTAAAACAGATCGGAAGCAATAGAGATGCATCCATTACAACAAGCGAGAGCATAAAGTAATTGCGAAAATGGGTACAAATGGAAAAATAATATGTGCTTCTCTCTGGAAAAAGAAATATGTAGCCAAAAAACTTTACTATTATAGAGCAAATGTCAGTGGTGAGTACCAAGAAAGTTCAGACATATGAAAAGAAGAATGTTTACAGCACAGCAGCTTTAGGAGTGGAGTGTATCCTTTTTCTGGAGGACTTTTACAAATCCAACACTTTCTTTCTTGAGACTTTAACCTATTCTTGTATTAAGTTCCCTTTCTTGGGCTTCCAGGGAAAACTCATGGCAAAGTACAGTTGTATTCAACTCTCTATTGACAGGTTGCAGTCTCCCTATTCTCTTTCCCTTATTAGTTGCTTAACTTTGACAACTCTTAAATCTCTCTACTAACTATGAAATAATAATACCTATCTCCTGGGTTATTTAGGACATTATATGGAGAAATTTTTGTAAAGCACTTTGAGCAGCACTCAGAACATGGCTTGAGTAAACAATAGCTAATATAAAGCTAGCTATTATAAGAGAGTCCATATGGAAATTGGATGATAGAAATAGAGACTTCATGAAGTCATGACACTTGGCTTGAGTTCTGAGGTAGATGAAATTAAGAAAGGTGGAGAGAAGATAATCTGGGCAGGAATAATGGCATATATATGGTACAAGGAAGGATGGATATGGTTTGT